ATATAGAAAATATGTTTTACATATAAATCTTTACTAAACATATTCTTGTTGAAATTGCCACACAAGAAAAAAATGCTTTATCATCATATGGGCGGAACTAGGGCCGCTTATCGGGCGGTTATTTACTCGTAACGGTTTGGCTTATCGGTTATCGGCTTTTAAATGTATTAATTTGCTAGCCACCCGATAAGATATTAGGCGGATTGGTATCGGTTTGGCTCTTATCCGGTGGTTATCGGGCGATTTATCTGCCTAATTCAATCTATATTGCGTGCATTATAGAGGGCATACTATCACAACAAATATACTGAATGGCAAGGTTTACATGTTCCACAAGCAGTTGAATTGTGTGAAGACATACGCTCTCTTCTAGTAGTTCCAAGTTAGCCTGTTGGTCAACTAAATGAGTCTTTTTCCTCTTTCACATGATGAATTTGAACTCATTACATGTTGACAAATTTGAACCAAGGTTGCTGATTATTACTATCGTTTTATGGTCCGCTTTAACGACAACATTTATTTTCTACCGGAAGGTAAAATTACCATGTTAATAACCGATTTCACTTTTAATTTGGAGGTGATGCTACCTTTTCTTCCTGCTACTATTATGTATTATCTGCTTGTGAATAAAAAGGCACCAAATTAGCGATGACACGTGTTTGGTGATGCTAAGTTAAGCGAAACTTAAGGTCAATGGTAACGCTTGGCCGATTATGATACTGGTGGCGTTTGGATTAGATGCGGAACATAGAGATATGATATCACAGGTGGCGTTTGGATTGGATATATATATATTGTTAATGGGTTAACGGATTATCCATTAAAAAAATTGAATAATCCGCCCTTAAATCGATAAGCCGTTAAAGAAAAAATTTCAATATGTTCCTCGTCCGTTAAACCGTTAACCCGATACCAATAAGCCATTAACCTTCGATTTTGATTCGGTTTTCGATTTCGGTTCGATTTTGAACACCCCAGGCCGAACAAACGTCAAAATAAAGAGAAAGGATGGATGCCAAGTTAAAATGTGTGAAGTTCAATTAAGAAAGAAAAAAGCATGGATTTATTAATGCACTTTGGAAAATAGTTTATATTTGTCTTCCATTATACTTTTTGTCTAATTACACTCCTACCATTACAAAGTGAACAAAAATACTCTCAATCCTAATGGATGTCCACTGTGGCACCCCGGACCCTCAAAATTATACATGTATGTGGTATTTTCTTATTGGATATTATATAACTAAATATTCTTAATTTTGAGACAATTTTTATTTGTGAGTCCCATTTCCCTTTTAACTTTCTTTCCCTTCTCCTTTTCATTTTTATTTCTTCTTCATATGTGCATCTCCTCTAATGTTTCTTCTAACAGGTTCTTCAAGCATCGATTCATCAATCACAAATATAGTATATCATTTAAATCCAGTTGTACAAGAAGGGCTTGGACAGTGTGATTGGGCTATGGCTCGGAGGTTTTGCCCTCTCTATTGCTGCGAGAAGTACTATCTTTCCCATTTGAAATTCCATGTCATCGCCGATCTCAGGCTTTGTAGGCCCGTCCAATGGCTTCGCGATCAAGTTCCGGCCTCTCCCAACATTTTATGCCTACAGCCACACTAATTTAGGCAACGCTTAAAAAGTGTTGTCAAAAGTATCTCTAGGAATACTTTTTAGGCGTGGCATTTGAGTATACTCTTCGGCCACGGATTTTAAGTTAACACTTATAAAGCGTTCCTTTTAAATATAAAGACAACATTTTTTAATTGTTGCCTAAATATAAAACTTTTGGCCACACTTCGTAGGTCTATTGCTACGTTTTTCAAGAGTTATTATATTGTCATATTAAATGCAACACTTTACAAGCGTACCCTAAAAATTTCTTATAATTTCCCCAAAAATTACCACTAAAATTGCACTTAATAAAATATTTCCCCCAATTCTTATAAGGCAACCGTTCAGTTAGGGAAAAAGTCTAAAAATTTGTTATATAAAATTTCACTCAAAATTTCCCCCCAAATATTAGAATTAATAAAAATATTTCCCCCCAATACAATAAGACAATAAAATCATCGTCCTTTCCCCAATTCTTTTCTCTCACTGCAGCTTCACCTTAATTGCCTCCTTAACCTAATTCATTACTTTCAACTCTCTGCTGCATGTGTCTTCAGATTATGCTCACCCATATATTGCAAATCTCCATCCCTTTCTCTATTGGTAAGTATTTCTTTGCTCAAAACTTTTATGTTTTTTTCAATTTTTGTTTTGTTCTTATACTTTAAGATTCATTTTTTTTAGTTTCTTACTAATGGGGATGAAAAATAATCTTTTATTGTGTACAATATCTGGGTATCTTGATACAATCTTTGTTTTAGACTCAAAGTTTTGAACGTTTTATAATTTCAGATTCTTGGGCTAAAAAGAAGTAATTTTATTTTGTTTAATTTTTGGGTATGCTTCGTTAATTGGGTTTTCGTTTACACTAATTTGTCTTCTGGGTAACTGTAGATTTATTGATATGTACTGTTTTGGACCTTTATTTGTCTGCTTACATTGTGTTATTTTTCTTGGGTTAAATAGATTAATTTGGGTTCTGGGTAAGTGTATTTTGTTGGTTTTCTTGTGATTAACTATTTGTGGGTTCTTTAAGATAGACTTTTTATTGATGACATATTTTTTTCTTTAGATTTGTAGACATTTAAGTACTCTTTTGGACCTTTATTTTGTCTGTTTCATTTGTATTTTTTTGTTAATTGTTTGTGGGGTTTTAGTTTAGGCTTGGAATCCCAATTGAATTGTTCTCTGAAGCATTACGTCGAACACTCAATGCCTTAGAAGAAAACATACTGCCTCGCTTGTTCTTGTCCCTGCCTCACTGGTAGTAGCTGGAATTATTTATTGCAAAGTATAGGATCTTTTAGAGTTGATGAGTTCATATCAACACCCTCCTCATCTGCTAGGATTTCAAATCCATTTGGACTGGATGTAGTTTAGCATAATAGTGCAACTAAGAAGTATGGGGGTTGGGGTACAAATGGGGTGTGGAAGCTAAATGCAAGATGAAAAGGATTACCAGTTACAACATATAGCGCACATAATGCATGAAAGTCGAGATCGATCCTGCATTGAAAAAACAGTATAACCATATTTCAGCGTTGGTATAAAATTCAGGAACAATGAATTTTGAGAAAAAAGACTAACCAGATGATGAATAGGCACTGCAGTCAAAGTTCCAATCGGCCATTGTTGGTCTTTAATTCTCTGCATTTGTCCGGAAGAAACTACGACTGGTTATGGACTATGTTGCTTGACCAAAAGTCCTTCGAATCAAGGGAAGTGTTAGCGATACTCTTTTCTGGGGTTGACTGTGATGGCCCCTCAGGGGTTGCACTTCAGCAATTAGCCTTTGTTTTTAAAGGTGTTTGAATATTTTTGTTTCTTAACTTCTTTACTCTTCGGAAACTTTTTTAAGTTTTTAGAATATTGAAATAAAATGCTACCTAAACCCCCCAACTGGGATTTAAAGGACTAACTGTGTGCATTCCTTTTCAAGCAGTTTGAGAGTTTTTTTTTGTTGACAAAAGTTTAGAGAAATATGGTAGTAGATAAGTGCTCATTGTTGTTTCTCAATTGAAGATGTATTACTTTATAAGAGATGCTTCACAACATTAAATTAGTGACAACTGAATGTATTATCACTATGATTAATCATAATTCGAAGAGTTTCCTATTACAAACAAACTTAAGTTTGATTAGAACTTTCAACTGATGATTCTTTTGACTGTGTAGCAATTTGGCGGAGGGGGTTGAGTTGGAGCATCACAATGTAACTCATGCTATTGTGTTACTCCTTAAAGTTCTGTATATTATGATTTTTTCTCTTTTAATACCTATTTTTCCCTGTTGTGTCCAATAATACATGAGTTTTATTTGTATTTTTATACATGGTTTGAGAATATTTTTGTGCAGACTAATTATTGAGATTCTGTATATTGAAGGCATATATGACTCTTAAACTTAAAGAGTGTGCTTGTGCAAAAACCTTATGGGTTTAAGCTTAGATAAGACGACAAATTGGCTATTCAAGATCAATATTTACCTTTAAATTTTTTTCTCAATTTATATTGGGGGAAAAAATATCTCAGGTTTTTTCTCTTGTACATAGATGCAAGCTTTTTCTATTTCTTCCTGTAGTTCTTTCCACTTTTTATGATATTGGCTGCCTATTTTTCAGTTTAATGAAGAATCACGTTCGCCTTTTATAAAGAAGTACAATACTATTATTGATCATGCTGAGGTACATCTTTCTTTGCTCTATCTTATTGTAGGATCCAAACTTGAATTTTTACAAACTTAGGTTATATTGTTAAAAGTTTGTGTAACTTTTATATAATACAAACGGAGGACCACCGATGTTCAGTTAGTAGAAACTAAAATAACCTATAAGTAGATAACTTCATGTAACTGACTATGTTCCAGGAAGTTTAATATGGATAAAAACTTCATGTAGCTTTGTTTGGCTAATTTGAATTAAACATGGGAAGTTAAAACTGAGGTCCTCTACTCTTCCTTTTCGTTTCAAGTCTGTTAAAGCATCTAATAAATCGAAACAACTGTGAGTGGTTATTAAGTGTTAATTCTTCCAATATTGAACCTTACTTTGTTGCACAACTTTGTGATAATGGAACTTCTTTTGGGCTACTTACTACAAACTGAATTATCTATAAAAATTATGAAGTCATACTTGCAATTAGAAAATTGGGTAATGTACTTAATAAAATATTTTAATAACAATACCTATACATACATATATACNTAAAGTCCATCTCTAATGGCTTTTGCTTTTCTTTTACTTTGTTCTTCCAGTTATATATCCTTTCGTTCTTTAGTCTTTACTTAAAATAAGTAAATGTGTTTGGGAAAGTAAAAAATTTGCTACATTTGTACCCAACCTATCTGGGAGGAAGCAATGATAATAGAAGTACTTCAAAATTCTAATTTCAATGTCAAAGTAGAATCCTAATACTTAATGGAATGAGACTTAAGGAAAAAAAGTGTATATCGTCCCAATGAGATACCTGAAGTTCAATTCTATCAATTGATTGAGCATTGGGATGACGAAGATGTCCAAGTAAGATTAAACTGTGCATTTCTACATTTTCTACCTTTTGTTGCAGTATATATTTTTTTCTTTTTGATTTATTAATTAATATGCTTCTTTTGTTGTTAGGCTATGTGCCAATTAAATTCTGAAAACAGGAAAAACAAGTGGAGGCATCGAATGTGACCTATTAATTTTGCAAGAGTGCGTGTGGCATTGGTAATATTTAGTCGGCACTTTGTAATCTGACTTTCATTTCTTTTTGTACTTTGTCGGAACACAGTGATGTTTTTTTATATCTTTTTTGATGTAATTTGTAGGGCGAAACCAAAGAGAACAATGAGGAATCATCAAAGTCTGAAATATTTATTACAACTCGTACAAAGAAAGAGAAGGAAGTTCATTCGGATACTCAAGTTGCAATAGTAAGTCATGCTGCAAGTTAAGTCTTGCTTGTATTTTCTCTCTTTAACTGAATGTGTGTAAGAGAAGTTTAACAAGAAGTTTAGCCAAGATTTCTACACGTAATCTCTGCTTAGAATGTAAGAACCTTATGTTTTTAGCAAGTTTTTAGGGCATTATGAAAGGAAGAACCCTTACTTTTTTATATCAATTTGACCTGAGTATGTCAAGAAGATTTCATGTGATATAGTTGGAAACTTATTTCCCTAATTGTATTCTTTTGTATCTTTCACCTTTTCTTTTTTGAAGTTTGAATCGTGTCCAAGTATCTCTTAAGAATAGACATTTGGATTTGGACATTCATGTGATTACCAGAACACTATTGCAGCATTTCTTAAAAAGATGTAATATGACCGTAGAAGTTACTATAAATGGTATATATTTAATGGCGGATATATATGTTCACGTGATTACCAGAACACTAGATATAGACTCTTGTCGAAGTGTCACATTATTCATGATGTTAATGAATAAGACAAGTCATATGTCCAGTCCACATTGCTTAGTTGTCAAAGCCAATGATTCCAAGTGCATGTCAATGTGCCTTTGGTGAACTTCATCTGCAATAGCACCTAAAAGGAGTAGCATTGATGTTATTGAAAGATTGACAGCCTTGAGAAGATATTAGCAACATTTTCTTGAAAATATTTGTTGTCTTTATGTTAATTCCTTACATTTTCCTACAAGTACTTAAAAAGGAAAATTGCACAGTACCATGAAGTTTCTGCCCCTTTGCATTTCTGGTTCATAGACATAATAACCTCCTTTATAAATGCTACTCACACTTGCATTTAAAGAAGAAAACTAGCTTACCAATTATCTCATTTTTATACTTAGTTTACACCAGCAATATGTTGCCAATGAGTCCTACTCTTCCTGCTAGAATATATCATGGCGAAGTGAGTAATTACAATACAATTAAGAATTTCACCGATTCAGTTCAGTTTGAAACTTCTTGGATAAATCTTGGCACCAATTTCAAGGGAAAAAAATCAGTTCAGTTTGTTTGGAACTTCATATTAAAATGACTACGATCCTTGTCGCAGGAAAATCTATTGACATTCTTGGCTAAATTTGAAGTTTGTTAAACTCTTCTTTAATCTAACTTGACTTGTTGAAACTTATTTTAGTATTCGATTTATCTTGACTTGTAAGTGATGAGAAATAATATTTTTTTTGACAGTCTGAATTTTGGAATCGTCAAAGTTCCGGAGAAACAACAGATGATGCATTTGGGGCTGTTGGAAAGGAGCAGCCTGGTCTGGTTAGATGCTATGATAGATCGGTGACGACAAGCTCTCTGAGAAAAAAATGAAGAAATCACCAAGCTTAAACAACAGCATGCCAACGAAATAACTTCTCTGAAGGAAGAAATGAAGGAAATGATGAGAGAAGAAATATTATGATTTTTTAGTCAATTGGTGAAAAACAACCCTGGACTGGATTTTCATGATATACAAGGGTGTGTTGGATCTAATATTCCTTCACCGGTTGATGCAAGTAGTGCACGAGCTATGAGAGACCATAATCTACCACATTCTTCTGGCTCAACACATGCCTCGAGTCTTGAAAAGGTATTTATATTTTACCAAGTAGTATAATGGTCGGGGTAAATTTAACCGGATAGTATAATGAAGATAAAATATAAACAATATTTAAAAGTAGAGGGTATATTTGGCCATTTTCTCTTCTTATTAAATTAAGTGATTGTTGTGATTATATAAGGAGATAGGTAAAATGTATGTTAATTCACATTTTTGCTTCTTTTTCACTTGTATATCTTTTTTGTGTTTGATATTGCTATGCTATAGTAGTAAAATAAAATCTCATTAGCTCTTAGTAAAATATAACCAGTGCATACTATATATTGATTACTTTCCAATTTTTAATTTTATTTTGAACGTGTAGGAAAATACGGGTGATGTAATTGGAAATGGTGGCCACAAATTAATTTGATTCATAAAAGTGAATGGTAAACACCTTTTAAACAATTGTGATGTTTATTTTTATTTTATATTGATACTATAAATATGAATAAATTTGATTTTTAGAGGTCTTTGCTAGTGAGCTTCTTGAACCAACAATACTTTATTACTATAGATAGTACGCAAAGTATGTTTGTAANTAAATATTTAAAAAATTACTTCGTAGTGTAGACAAAATTGCCACGCTTAGAAAGTGTGGCCATATGAATTATTAATCTGGTGTTGTTAATGATAAATGTTGCTCTAGAAGCCACACTTTAAAAGCGGTAGTCTATAACGTGACAAAGATCATGCTTCAAATGTGTAGTCTTATGTCATAAAAGCGTGGCTATATGAGAAAATATAAGTGTGACTTTTGTACTGTATAGGCCACATTTTTAAAGCGTGGCTTCTAAGGCAACACCTACAAAGTGTGGCCAATAGTCAAAGGTTACGGTACTTTAAGCCACCCCAAAAAAGCGTTGCCTAAAGCCATAAAGTGTTGCCTTTAACCAAATGCTACACTTGCATTTTAGGCCACACTTCTCAAGGGTGGTTGTAGGGCTAAAATGCTGTAGTTCAATATCGATACAATTTCAGCAATAATAACTACGAGGAACTCCCGCTCCATTGCTTAGAGCAATTGTTGATCTTTGGCATCAATTTTAATGTCATCCACCTGAACTTCATTATCCTTCCTTTCTACCATTTCTGTAATTGAACAACAAACAAAATAAAATTGAAGCTAAAACAAGCAAAACCTTAATACTTCTTTAGAGAAGCTTTTAACCATTCCTGTAATTGAACGACACATATAAGATATTTTCAAAATTATAACAAATTAAAGATAGAAGATACAAAATGTTAATACTTCGTTTGCGAAGCTCTTTGCCCTTTCTGTATTTGAATAACACACAACATAGTTTTAAATATTGTAACAAATTGAATATAGAATGCACAAAATATTAACACTTTACTGACGAAGCTCTCTGCCATTTTATAATTGAACAACAAACAAAATAAATTGAAGCTAAAAAACGTACTTAAATTAGTGAAACTTTCATCCATTTCTCAGTTGTGTCGTTCATCAGGGGATTGAAAAATGAACTAATCAATCAAGAAAGCGTTGTACCTAGAATTATAGATAATACAAGAAACCATATTGTAAAAAAATGAAGAGTATCGGGTGTGTCGATGGAGGAGATGTGCAGGTGAAACACAAAAAAAGGAGGAAGAAAAGAAAAGTTAATAGGGAAGTGGGACGCATAAATAGAAATTGTCTCAAAATTAAGAATACTTAGTTACATAATATCCAATAAGAAAATAACACAAGTATAATTTTGAGGGTCTGGGTGTCAAGTAGACAGTCGTCAGGGCAGGGCATTTTTGTTTACTTTGATAACGGTAGGGGTGTACTTAGATGAAAAGTATAACAGAGCGTAGAACCGCCAAAATGGGCTTGCCCCTGAGGCCAGCCTAACCCAGATCGCTACTTGAGTAGGATTGGATTGAGATTTTTTTAGCCCATTTAAAACTGAGGCTTATAAGCCCCGCCCAAGTCGGCCTGTTGGCACTTGAGGCTTGATCGAAGCTGGGCCTGGGTTGGCCCGTGGGCCAAAAATTAATTTTCAAATTTAAATATTTAATATTTTAAAAAAGTAAAAATTAAAAATCCTATTAACTACAACCCCCAAACTTAGATTGCTCATTTACCCTTCCATATCAACTAGAATTTAGATTTTTGATATGTATGTAGTATGACAAGATAAATTTTTTTTTTTGCTTAATCGACAACGAACTAGGAAAGTTTTAAGTATCCAATAATATTTTTTTCAAAAGAATATTACTTTAAGTGGCCAATGATCAATTTTGTTACATTAATATATTATTAATAATTAAATTTCTCTTCAGTATAGAAAAAGATCAAGTTTTAATACTCAAAGAAAATTGACAACACTAGCAAATTTCATGAATGTTAAAACTTTTATGGGCTATAATGATGAAAATCAGCAAATGATGTTAAACCTAAATTAAAAAACCTCAAACATATAAATTTATTGAAGAAATTTCTTGTAACGACCCGACTGGTCATTTTGAAAATTAACGCCCTGTTTGGGGGCATAAAGTCTTGAACAACTTTGTATTATGTGTTATGATGCACGTGTGTTGTCGGGTTCGGTTTTTCGGATGATTCAGAGTCAATTTGAAAGAAGAATTTCTGTTTTAGAAGCTTAAGCGGTAAGAGTTGATCGGAATTGACTTTTATCAAAATGACTCTGGACTAAGATTTTGATGGTTCCAACAGTCTTGTATAGTGATTTTGGATTTAAGCGTACATCCGGATTTGGATTTGGAGGTCCGTAGGGTAATTTGAAGTATTTCGGCGAAAATTGAAAAATGAAGTTTTGGAAGGTTGAGAGGTTTGATCGAGAGTTGACTTTGGTGATATATGGATCGGAATGCGATTTTGAGAGTTGGAATAGCTCCGTTATTTCATTTGGGACTTGCATGCAAAATTTGGTGTCATTTCGGGTTGATTTGGTATGTTTCTGCTCTAGTTTTGGAAGTTGAAAGATTTGGAAGTTCATAAGTCGAATCATGGTGCAATTCGTAGTTCTGACGTTGTTTGATGTGATTTGAGATATCGAGCGAGACAGTATTAGTATGAAACTTGTTGGTATGCTTGGACGGGGTCCCAGGGCCCAGGGTGTGTTTCAGATGAGTTTTGGATGGTTTTCATGGTTGGGAACAAGTCTGGTTCTGGTGCTTCGCACCTACGACATCTTGGAACACAGGTGCAGCTCCGCTTCTGCGTGTGCCTGGTCGCTTTTGCGGTTATAGTGGCCTTGGAGCTCGCTCTCTTCTGCGGAGGATGGCACGTATGTGCGAAGGCTGCTTTTGCGGTTCAGTGATCGCACCTGCGAAGCAGTTCGCTTTTGCGCTCCTTTTGGCACTTTTGCGAGGTCGTTGGTGCGACTATAATTCCGCAGATGCAGATCCAGAGTTGAGTTCGCAGATGCGAACGTCTTCTCGCAAACGCGAGAGCACAGATGCACTTCTTTGTCCGCAAATGTGGATGTTCTGGACAGAATCATATAAAATTAAAAATCGAGGATTTTTCCATTTCCACCATATTTTGAGTTGTAGACCTCGGTTTTGGGATATTTTTCGTGCGTTATTTAGGACAATCATTGGGGTAACGTTCTTCACTTAGAATTCATTATATTTCATGATTCTATCTTTAGTTTTATCGCTAAATCAGTGTTTTGAGTTGAGGAAAAATGAGGATTTTTGTAGAAAACTTTCAAAATGTAAAATGATGATTTGAGGGATGAATTGGTATCGAAATTTAATAATTGTAGTATGGTTGAACTCGTATCGAAATGAGTGTTCGGGTTTTGTAAAATTTGTCAGGTTCTGAAGTGCGGGCCCGAGGGTCGACTTTTGGGTTGATTTTTAGTTTTTGATAAAGATTTAAGCTTTATCATACAGAATAGATTCTTATGAGTTTTATTTATGCTTTGAAGTTATTTTGGCTAGATTTGAGCTGTTCGGAGTTTAGTTCACTCGAAAAGTTCATTTTAGAGTAACGATATATCTTCTTTGAGGTAAGTATCTTACCTAACTTCGTGTGGGGAAATTACCCCTTAGGATTTGAGTCTTCTATGCTAATCGTGTCATGTGAAGTCCGTGTACGCGAGGTGATGAGTACATGCTCGGGCTTATTTGTTGAAAGATGACCTTTTAGGGCTTCTTAGTTTGTTCATTCGATATGAAGTTGCTGGGTTATGAATAAGTTCCCCATTTACTAGTTTCGTCTCCACATGTTTTAATTGGAATTAATTGCTTCATGTGCTACTTTTATTACCTATTTGACTCTTATTTGCCGTAACTGAAGTTGTTGCTTCTTCAATTGCCATGCTATCCCTCCCAAATTGCTTATCCTTAGTTGAAATTATAATTATCTCTTATATAATTGTTCATCCTTAATTGAGGTTATGATTATCTTTCCATTGCTTACACCTTAATTGAATTGTCGTATCTCTTTCGTAATTGCTCAACCTAAAAGAAGCTTAGTTATCCTTTATCTTAGTTGACTTATCCTTATTTGGAATTATTGACTGGTGTTACCCCCCTTGTTGTTGAATTGTACTTATGTGAAATCATTGCTACACAATATCTTTTCCTTGTTGAGCTATTGCTAGGTTGTACCATTATTTCCTATTGTGTTTTTCTTTGTGAGTTCATTTTTTCGCTTCTTTGTGTTTTAGAATTTTTAAGTTGATTTACTCGCCGTACTCTTGTGTTATTGTCATTGTTTCTGTTGTACTCGGTATTGTGTTGCACGAGGTTTATGCCATATGATTGTCATTCTGATGAATGAGGTTTCTACCGTGTGGCTGTTATTGTGTTGCACGAGGTTTTCGCCGTGCGGTTGTTATTGTAATGCACGAAGTTACTGCCGCGCATTTCTTATTGTGTTGCACAAGGTTTCTGCCGTGCTATTGTTACTATTGATATATGCACATGCGGCGTGATAATGTGGGAAATATATGTGGGTTGCACATGTGGCAAGACAAGGTGGGAATATTATTATGCGTGTGCGGCGAGACAAGACGGGCATTCTTACGTGCCATTCATTTTCTCTACTCTTGCTAGCTGGCCTAAACTGTGATAGGACACTTGCACAAACATACACGTAGTTAATCACCTCTATCGATTTAAGAAGATAGATCCTAATGTTATTGATTATTTATACACACCCTCATCTACTTGCCTTCTTTGTGAGATGGCTCTATTGACACACGAGTCGCTCGTGCAGTTACAAGTTGTAATGAGGGCAGAAAATACCAAGTGTTTAGGGTTCACGAATTGGGACCCGTGACTTGTGAATATATTTTGGGGTTTCGTACCTTGTGGTGATTATTGGATAAACCTAGTATGAAAGCGGTTATTTTTGTTGAGATGCTGCTTGTCCTTCCTTTATTTTTTTTCATCAGATTTAAACCGTGTTTGGCTTACTCTACTATGTTATTACTTGTTGTGTTTTGCTGCTAATTATCTCTTCTATTTCTTATTGCAAGCACTATATTTTTATTGTTATTATATGTAGTTTGTAGAGATATCATACCCTGTTAGTTCTCCACTTATACTTGTCTAGGTTATCTAGTCCAGTAGGTGTCTTGACTGTTCCTCATCACTACTCCATCGAGGTTAGTCTTGACACTTACTGGGTACCACTATGGTGTACTCATACTACACTTATGCACATTTTTGTGCAGATCCAGGTACTTCAGAGTTAGTCGATCGCTAGCTAGCTATATGGATCTGCTGTTGAGACTCAAGGTAAACCTACTGCTGCATTCGTAGGCTTCGGAGTCACCTTCTGATGTTGTATTTGCATTGTTCATCCTTATTTCGAAACAGTTGTATTTAGAGTTTTTTCTAGCAAACTCAGTAGAACTTATGACTTCTACTACCAGTTTTGGAATTTTTAAGTCTTGTATAGAGATTCTACTTCGCATTTGTCAGTCGTTATTTAATATTGTTATTATTTCAGTAAATAGCAGGCTTACCTAGTCCCTACTAGGTGCCATCAAGACATCATACAGAGTAAAATTTTGGTCATGACACATTGGTATCAAAGCTCTAGGTTCATAGGTGCTACGAATCATAAGCGAGTTTAGTAGAGTCTTGCGGATCCGTACGGAGACGTCTGTACTTATCTTCGAGAGGTTACGGAACTATTAGGACAGTTTCACTTCTTTCGTTCCTATCGTGCGAGTTTACTGATCTCGAGGTTTGAGCTTTTATCATTCTATTCTCTCATAGATGGTGAGGACACGAGCTGCAGTCACCAATGACACTGCCCCCGGAGCAGGTGTCGCTAGGGGCAGAGGTAGAGGCTGAAGAGTAGAATGTATCGCAGCTAGGGCACCTACCAGTGCAGTAGTAGAGGAACCACCAGTAGCTCCGGTTGGGGGACAGGTACCGAAGGCGCCTGCTATTACCCCCAGACTTCAGGAGACTCTACCACAGCTCCTGAGCATGTTTGTACATTTGCTCAAGCGAGGTTGAATCTAGTTGTACCAACTACTTCACAGATCGGGGGATGGATTCAGACTCCCACCACTTGTACTCTAGAGAAGGGAGTTCACGGCGGTCAGCTTCCAGGTGTCATGGCAACACGGCCTACTGTTCTACTTCAGCCCGCACTTAGGGCAACAATATCTGAGGAAGAACAACATAGACTTACAATGTTCAAGAAGTATGATCCTCCCACATTCATTGGTTTGGCTTCAGAGGGTGCACAGGGTTTTCTAGAGGAGTTCCACCGCATTATCTGCACTAGGGTATTGTGGAGACGAGTGGGGTTGCTTTTACTACGTTCCAGCCTAAGGGAGAGGCATATCAGTGGTGGCGAGCGTATGAGTTGGGTAGCCCGGCTGATGTAGCGCACTTTCATGGGTCCAGTTTTAAGAGATGTTCCTGAGAAAGGTTGTCCCTCAGTCCCTTCGGGATGCATGGTATGTGGAGTTTGAGCAGCTACGCCAGGGCACTATGTTAGTGTAAGAGTATGCCATTAGATTCAGTGACTTGTCCAAACATGCACCTACTTTGGTCGCTACAGTTAGAGAGTGAGTCTGTCGGTTCATTGAGGGACTCACATCATATTTTGTTCAAAATGGCTCGGGAGTTGGAGTCGGATGTTTCATTTTAGTAGGTAGTAGAGATCGCTTGCCGATTAGAGGGCAGGTGGGACCAGGAAAGGGAGGACAGGCGTGGCCAGGAGAGAGAGGACAACCGAGGTTAGGAGAGAGAGGACAGGGAGGCTAAGAGGCTGACAGACCGAAGAGATCTACCAGTCCTTATTTTGGAGGCAGGGTACGACATGGTAGAGGTTTTGTGGGTCAGCCAGTTCAATTTGCACTTCAGACCTCACATAGTGTTTCAGGTACTCATGGGTCTCAAAGCACCTGTACCGCACAGTTCCCACAGCCATGTCAGTAGAGAAGTTTCTTCGAGTGTGGAGATACTAGCCACATGGTGAGATATTTTCCCAGACTCCGGACATTTGTGTCATAGCGGGGGTACTCAGGCGAGTAGAGGGCACCCAAGAGGGGGAGGCCCGACCCATTGATGTATTTCATACAGTAGGTCTAAGGCCACTACGCCAGATAATGTCATACAAGTATGGCTTCGATTTGTAATATATGGGAATCATTTGTATTTTGTTTCAGTTCTACTTATCGGGGTGAGTTCACCTATTTGTTGCTCCACCTATGGGAGAGTTCTGATTTAGTATTTTGTTTGTGTGTTTACCCCTGTTGGGAGATTCTATAGTGGTAGCCCATGTCTATCAGTTATTTTTATTCATTATTGAGAGTTATAAGACTAGGAGTGACTTTCTGTTTCTCATTGTGGTGGTTTGATGTAAATTATGGGTGATGGGTTATGACTTGTGATTTAGATTCTCTACCGGTGTGAGAGCTCAGTATATATCGTGATTTTTGTTGGCATAATGGAATTAGTGGAAGGTTTCAGTTGGTATGATGTGTATTCTACTTATGATTTAGAGTTGAGGGTGAGACCCTCGCGGATTCATGTGATTTGATGTGTTTGAACCGGGCGGTGTGCCGTGGTGGAAGTTATATCAGGATGAGATCTTTGTCATTTGTTCATATGTTTTGATTCTTCATTTTGGAGTTGATTCCTAGAATGGTACTGATAGGGAGTTATGCCTGTCGGGCTTGTTTGATAATTCTCTTTTGTGTTTCTCCTTACATATTCAATCATTTTTGTGCTCTGCTTATTGCGTTTTAGCTTGTGTGGTGTATGCCTGGTGGCGTTAGATGTGACTTGCTGATTCGGGTTAATAGTTATGAGGTCTTCGTGTTTCTTGTATCATTGTCAGTGTTGTGGAGGGTCGAAATAAGGTTCTAACGGATACGAGGCTAATTGCCAGTACTAGATTTGATTACGACAACTATTGTGACTAGAGATGTTGTTATGGGCATATGTGTGATGTGTTACGTCATATGGTTGTACCTTGTGGGTGTAGGCATAAGTTGTTGCAGCTTAAGTAGTGATAAGTGGAGATTTTGACTACTTATTAGCGCCTTTTAGCTTTCGTTATTGTCCAAAAGTGTTTAATTGTGTTCCCAAAAACTGATGAAATATGATTAATTGTAGGAGTATTGAAAAATGAGCCCCTAATATGAAATCCAACTCAAGAAGGAGAGATCTGAACTCAAAAACAAAAATAGGCACAAAAGCTCAAAGTGTGGGCATAATATCATTTGCGGCCGCAGATTGTGAAGGCAAGCTTATGAGAGACAAGTGTAAAGTGTGATTCGCACATGAAATGTGCCTCCGTAGAAGCTAAGCAAGAGCAGAAGTTCAGAGAGTTCTCATTTCATGCTCAAAGGAAGTGCGAACCACACAATTATTGTGCGGCCGCAGAAGATCAGCTATGCGACTGCAAATCGCATTTGTGCTGTCTGCAGAAGAGCCTTGTGCGGCCACACTAATGTGCCGTAGAATTTCGGCACTTTCGATACTAATCACATAGACTTTAGCTCGACTTTTGAAGCATTTTTAGTTATTTCTTATGAAGTTTTGGTGTTTTGTAGTGTAAGAAACTTGAAGAACCAAAAACATGGAAAAGAAGTCAAAAACCCATAGAAGGGCATAAATGTGGCAAGTCTGCAACCGCGAAAGTGATATGCGGACCACAAACCTACCGCAGATTGAAGTAGGTTTTTCCGCTATCGAAGAGAAGAATATGCGGTCCGTTATGCGGTCGCATAACGCTTCTGCGGACCGCATAATGGCCACACAGTTGCAACAAGAGATTTTGCTTGAACACTTTGTGATGAAGTCTGCGGTCGCATAATCACTATGTGGACCGTAAAATGGAAATGCGATGGAGAATTAGGAAACGAAGCGTGTGATTATGCGATGACCCTTGCAAATACGTGGACCGCATACTTGATCTACGACCATTCTGCAGTCACAGATGGGTTCTGCAGGGGTATTTTTTTCCAACTTTCACCTCGAATTTTGGTCCATAATAAATAGATTTACTAGGGTTTTTATGGCACATTGAGTCTGAAAAAGAGACTACATTGAAGGAATTGAATACACCATTATTTTTGAAGCTTTTGAATAGAGAATCTTGTACCTTTGTAAGCTTTACGACTTTATTTATTGCTTTATTTTTGGATTCTAGTATGAGTAGCTAGTATTAAATACTAAGTTGTGGACCCTAAATGGGTATAATGTTAATGGGTATTTAACATTGAATATATATATAATGGTTGGTTGATATTTATTCATTTCTTATGCTTTATATATTGTTGGTGGTTGCAAACATTGGCTCATTCCATTTTACTCTTTCTTTACTTGAAAAAGTGGGTTAGGGTTTGGTAGAAGTGAATATCAAGAACTCAAGGCTTTAAACCTTGTTTAGTATAATCGCTTAGGAATAAGTGAGTTCTACTTGACATAAATTAGTTATTCTCAATTACAACTCTTTTATATTTGGGAAAATCATAAAGAGAAATAATACCCAACTATTGGGAAATATTGGGTAGTCATTTAGAAACCATTTGCATATCAAAAGACCTTCCATTAGAAATTTATCATATTAACACCGATAGCATTACATTTCATTGATGGAGAAACAACCTTGGTTTCCTTAATAAAATTAATTACATTCTCACAACAAAATAGTTATCTTGTTAATTCACAATTACATCATTCTTTTTTTAAGCTAAAGGAGCATAATTACGACTTATGTCACGTTTCACACTATTCAAGTACCTTTTCGCACCTATTCCATATGGGATTCGACCCCAACCTTGTTGGGTTATTATATTTGACACCGACCGCCTTACACTATTTATTTAAGTGTAATTTGAGAGTATCAAATTTTGGCGCCGTCACCGGGGAATACAGTTTTGAAATTACTATTTAGTATGTGCTTTACTTTACGTCTTTTTCTACTCCATCACACTTTGTTTGCTTTGCTTGGTGTTATTAGATAAACATGACCGAGTACAATGAAAAGATTCCTTTTGCGGTTATAGATGAGTATATTGAGGATACAAATGCTATTGTCCCTCCAAGAGTTGATGCTGCTACTTTCAAGGTGGAACACGGTCTAATCCTAATGCTCAAAATAGAAGGGTTTTTCAGAAATTCCACCGATGATGATCGGACACAATATCTCATAAACTTCTTGGGTGTGTGTGTGTGATGCACAAGCAGAATAATGTCTCAAATAATGCTCTAAGGTTGAGGGTGTTCAAGTACTTACTAGCCGGAGAGGTAACAAAATGGATCCAAAATCTACCACCTAATTCCATTCATTCTTGGCTTGAACTCGTCCGAGCTTTCTTAGCTAAATGGTTCCCGCAAAGTAAGAAGTTCAAGCTCCACGATAAAATTTCTTCTTCAAGCAGCTACCGGGAGAGCATCTTAATGAGGCATGGGATTGATTCGAGCTATATCTAGTGAGGTCGCCGAA